GGGGCAGATCCCTCATAGATTGGTGTTGTCGTCCCAATAGTGTGTACTCAAGAGATCTTGTTGTTTAAAGATATGTAGCACCTCTCTCCTTCCTCCTGCTCTGGTCATGTGATGTGCTTGCTCCTGCTTCACCTTCCACCATGAGTAAACACTCCACAAGGCCTTCTCAGAAGCTGAGCATATTCCAGTACCATGCTTGTACAGGCTGTAGAATTGTAAGCCAATTAAATCTCTCATCTTTTTAAATTATCCAGCCTCAGGTACTTTCTTCACAACGACACAAGAATGGCCTAATACATTGAACAAGTAAAAATGAGTAAAATTTGCTGTTGTTGGTACATCTTCTTTGCAATATGCTTCTTGGTAATAAAGGACAAAGAATGTTTATGAATAATAATTACGACTTTTTTGAGCATATACTATACATCAAGCACTATGTTAAGAACTTGATACAAATATCTCACCCAAACCTCCTAATAACCCTATATTATAACTCACCATTATTGATGATTAGGATACATTGTAACTCATTATTAATGAGAAAATGAATGAGTTCCACTTATGGAGGTAAGAGATATCAAAGGTAGTAAACACATTTCTTGAATAAAATGGTAGGAAAATAAATATGGTAAACTTATTAGTTCCCAGGTACATTTCCTGGCATTACTACCATGGATCTTTTGCATTAATTTAAATCCTGTATATCTTTCATGGCATAAATCAAGTCCAAATCCTCCTTAGAAAAACTTCCTCAACATTTAGGTATGAGCTATGTCTTTTTGCTCCTCTGGAATTTTGATTTAGGACCATACCATGTGGATTAGAACATTTGGGGTAAAAAGAAATGCGTTATACCTAGAAGAGTACCTTGTACTTAGGCACGAATAATTCCTGTCAAATGTTGACATCTAACCATTCTGCATTTTTCACCTATAAAAATATTCCATTATGTGACTTGAAAATTCTTATGTTAGGCTTACATATAATCATACTCCATTTAATTCAGCAAATGTAATTAATTTTTACTAATAGATAACAGTTCTCTGTGGGGTTCAGCTGAGCAATCTTTCTCTTGACATCTCTCTCTGGTGATTCATTTTAATAGAAATTTGAGAACATATACAACTATTTTAAATGAAGAATTTAATATCCTCCTTCCCTGGCTCCCAGTACTTATCAGTCCTCTTTAGGGTTCTGTAATGATCAGAATGACACATTCACATATGTAAAATGTGTTTATGGGGAAATAATACATTTTTTAAAATATGCTGCAGTTGATATACCTTTATTTTGTCCTTTCATTAGATGCATATGACAGAATAACGTTCTTTGTTTCTCTTTACACTTAATTACATTGAGGATTTTAGAAAACCGTCTTCATCAGTTATCTATCTTGAATTGATCAACTTTTCAGCAAATATCTCTTGTTTAGATTTACTCCATGAAAAAGAACATACCTTAAAAATTTACCAAATATATTATTCTGAATCTGTGGTCTCTCTTCAATGTTAACATCCCAAATAGTAACTTGTCATAGGATTTAAATATTTTTATTATTATTTTTTGAGATGGAGTCTTGCTCTGTCCCCAGACTGGAGTGCAGTGGCCCGATCTTGGCTCACTGCAACCTCCGCCTCCTGGATTCAAACAATTCTCCTGCCTCAGCCTCCTGAGTAGCTGTGATTGTAGGCATGCGCCACCATGCCCAGCTAATTTTTGTATTTTTAGTAGAGATGGGGTTTCACCATGTTGGCCAGGATGGTCGTGATCCACCCACCTCAGCCTCCCAAAGTGCTGGGATTACAGGCGTGAGCCACCGCACATGGCCGGGTTTTAAAACTTTCATAAGTTTTGCATTGTAGCTAAAATGCATATTAAAAGAACTTTAAAATATTATTTCCCCAGTAAATTGTACTATTATATTGTTCCTTATGCATAGGTATATCTCTAGATAGTTAAATCCACAGGATAAGATAGGTCTAAGATTAAGAGGCTACTGTTATATACAGCGGCATCTTTGATTTCAGAGAGTTCAATTTTTTTTCAAGGAGACAGTAAGCAATGCAATATTTTCTTGATTTTTACACTGAAAAATATGCTATGAAGGAAGTTTGAGTACTAAGCCTGTGGGAGAAAAAATTGGAATTTCTTAATGTACTATGAACAGTTATTTCTATATTGCTTTTAGCCTTTGTTTTCTATTTGAATAAAAATATAAAAACCAAACTATGCAGTTCACTTTTCTTGACTATGAAAGTAAAAATTTGTCATTGGATATGACTCACATTTCATTAAAATGCATACAAATGCGTTCTGGGATAGATACACATTTTCATTTATGGATACATATGAATATATATTCCATATGTTTCATTTATAGATTTATCGATATAAATGAAAACTTAATTGAATCATGTTCTTAAATAAAGATGCTCAATAAGTTTTTCATGACCACAACACTTTAAGAGCATTTATTTTATAATTTGGAACTTGAATAAACCCACAAAGTGAACAGATTCTTAAGCTATTACCCATTTTGCTAGTGTACTATAGCAACGATTAATATATTAATCTCAAATTCTTGATTAAAGTAGAATACATAATTCAACATTGTATTGTGACTTCCCTGGAGGAAAAGTTAGAAAAAAGCCAATGATTCTTAAATGCCTCTGAGTCGTTTTGAAAGATATTTCAGGGGGAAATAATATTGAAATGTACTTAGGTGAAATTTAGGCTATTCTTCTGTTAAAAAGATTGGAAATACTGTCAAGAAGGGCTATTTACTGTACCACACTAACCAATTCTCTATCAGTGATTGAAAAGAAGAAAAATGCTATCATTCTGTCCAATGTTCCTTCATTTTGCACATCAAGGGCACAGCTCAGAAGGTTGGTAATGTCTAGCCTAGTGAGATACATAAGCTGATAAATTATTTGCAACAGCCTTGATTTAGACTTATTAACTTTAAAACTTTTTATACATTTTGTTTCTAAGCTTTTAAAATATTTTAAAATAAATGTTATCAGATCATGAACATAATGCAATACTTCCAATTGCCTGTATGCTTTTGAGGAGGCTATATAAATATTAATTTTCCAGTTCTAGAATTAAGAGAAAGAAGATTGCAGAACTTATCTTTTTGCTCTAAGTGATACTGAAAATAACACTGACAAGGTCTCTGGGCCAGTGGCGACGGTGAGTTCAAATAGATGAAGCACGTATTTTAGGTAAGATACACATCTTTAAATACTGTGTATATGTGTGTTCAGGAAGGAAAACCTGCTTTTGTTTTAAGCAGATGTTACAAACGATGGTTTTTTTTTTTTTTCAACTTGCAAAATCTCTTGAAGGTTGGAGCAGAGCCGGTTACCTTTGAGCATCGAAATACTGCACGTTATCCCGTTTCCTTTTCCCTTCAGGAAAGATGGATGCAGGATTGAGATGTTACACGAGAACTAAGAGAGCCACCAGCTTGGCATAGAAGAAAAAGCAAACCCAAAATGAAAACACCCGGATTTTAAGCGTGGATCCTGAGAGGCCGGTTTGCACTGGCCGAACGTCTGCGTTAACCCTTTGGGTGCTGCAGCCAGGATCCCCAGTGTCTGCGGATCCGACCGGCAGGAACAGAGATTTGGTGCCCTGCGCCCGCAAGGGGAGTGGGTTCTCCTCCCCAAAGAGGGAGCGAGCCGGGAAGCACTTTTGTCGTCCGACGCGTGCGTCAAGGCCCGGGAGAGGCGTCGAGTCCGGTTTGGAGTGGGGACAGAGACGCGGCGAGGAGCCGCTCAAAGGTCCGCTGACTGGGGGTTCGCCTTAACTGTCCTCGCCAAGAGCGCTCGCCTGGCCCGTTCCCGGGCTCGCTCCTGGGCCCTGGAGGGGCGCGGGCCCGGGGGCGGTTCTGGAGGGGGCCCAGGTGAAGAAGGCACCCGCACTTCTCCTGCGGCAGTAATCGCTCTCCTGCCTCCACAAGTCGCGGCAGCGGCCCGGCCCCGTGCCGAAACAGCAGCTGTGACTGACGGAGTCACCTCCCCGCGCGCCTGAGCCACCCCCTCCTCCCCCGCCGCTCCCTCCCGCACCAACACGTCATGGAAACACGGACGTCAGAGACTCTCAGCCAATCGCGGGCTGCGACAGGAGGGAAGGGGCGCGCTGGAGGGGGCGGGGGCAGCGGCAGCGGTGAGCCAAGGCGCTCAGGGGAAGGAAGAAAGGGAGGGGCAAGCGGAGGCGCAAGTCCCCACCCCCGATCCTCACTCTGGCCACCCTTTCTCGACCGCGCGGCAAGTTCTAATCGCCGGGCGCGCGCTCGCCAGCCGGGGGCGCGCTTACCGGGTCCTCCCCTTAAACGCCCTCCCAGTGCCGCTCCGCTCCCAGTCCCGGTCCGAGCCGCGCTTCCTCCGCGCGCACGCGCGCGCGCGCGCCCGCCCGCCTCCAGGCTCCCCGCGGACCGCGTCACGTGACCGCGCCCAGCCAAGGCGGCAGCGGCAGCAGCGCGAGCTTCGGCGGCGGCGGCGGCGGCGGAGGCTGAGGCTGTGGCTGTGGCAGCGGGAGCAGCTGTGCCGCCAGCGTGGAGCGAGAGGCGTGTGGGTGTGGAGAGAAGGGAGCGCCAGACCGGAACGGGTGAGCGTTCTCCTCCCCCTGCCTACCCCGGCAATCTTGCGGGCCACCCGGTGCAGACAGGGTCCCTGCCCGGAGCAGCGCGCAGCCCCCTCGTGCGCGGCCGTCTGTTCTCTGGTGCCCGTGGGCCCCTCCCCGAGCGGGCCTGGCTGCGGCGCTCACGGAGGGGGCTGCACCCCGCCCGCCGCTGCCGTTGCGGACGGCAGCGTGAGGCCAGCGGAGCTGCCCGTGCCCAGTGAGCGCGGCGCGCCCTGTGTGCAGCTCTGCGGAGCCGAGGAGGCGGGTCCTGCGGGGACGCGGGCGGCCACTCGGTGGCTGCCGGGCTCTGGGCGGGGACGGCCGGGCGCCGCCTCCTCCTCCGCCGCCGCCGCCGCCGCCGCCTCCTCCTCGCAGTGCAGCGTGAGTAGGGAGCCCCGGCTGGTGGACGCCGAGCCTCTCGGCTCCGAGGCGGCCCCATCCCCGAGGTGCAACTGCACCTCCGCGTGGCGCCCCGAGCCTTGCGAGCCGGCTGCGGACGCGCTGAGGACGGAGCCCCCATCCTCTGCGTTTCCTGCTGCCCCTCACTGTCCCGCGACCCTCCTGCAGCCTCCCTTTCCTTCCCCCTCGGAAAATGGTTCCTACTGCCGGGCGAGGTGAGTGGCCGCCGCCGCCCGCCCGCGGCGGGGGCGGCAGGGCAGGTCACCTGCGGGGGAGGCCGGGCGGAGCACGGAAGTCTGGCGTCGCGGCTGGGGTCCTGACAGCTGGGTGCCCCGAGGGTTGCGGCGGATTCGGGAGAAGCTGGTGGGGGCGGCTGGGGCCCCTCACAGGTTGTCTCTTGCCGGGAGATTGTAAAGGTGAGCGGGCTTCTAGCCGTGCACCTCAGCGCCGGGTCCGTCTGGGAGTCGCTGCTCCAGCCCGAGGGATGGGGCTGGTTAGGGCTTCTGGTCTACACCGCAGGTCTTCGGCTTCACTGAGCCGCCTCGGCCGCGCTACAGTCCATCCCGCCACCGGTCGCCCCCGCCACGGCGCATGGTGACCTTGAGGGCACTGTGCCCGGCACTCCCTCTCCCAGCGCCCCGGCGGGGTCACCCCTCTAAATCCTTGCTCTCCGCCCCCCAGACGCACTGCGGGAGGGGAGCGGGGGCCCAGAGTCGGCCCCTGGCCCGGGTGGTTGGTTGGTGCGTGTCAGGACGGTGATTTCCCGGGAGTTGGAGAACCGCCTAGTCTTTCTCCTCACGCCTTTCGTCTGGCCCCCCAGGATGTTCACATTTGTTTCCGATTCGTGTTTATTCACTTAGTTTAAGAGGAAAAAGCCTGCGCCCCCATCCCCCTTTTTTGGGAAGGAGTCTGTAGGAGGACTGTGTTCCAGTGGCAGCGGTGTGGGGTGGGGGGTTTGCTCCCTTTATCTCATCCTGCGGGAGAATCCTGTGGCTAGGCTGGTTAGCGACCCCTGGTTCTGCGCCGCGGTCACCGCCAGGTTGGTCTCTGTGCGCATTTCATTCACCAGTTTTCTGCAGGACTCGCAGCGCTGGGAGTGCTCGCACCCTGTACGGTGCTTGGCGCGGAGGGGAGGGCAGGGCGTCCGGGTGGGTTAAGGGGGTCTGCAGGTCCTTGGAGGGCTCGACCGTCCTCGGCAGGCTTGTACTTACCTTTCCCTTGGGTTAGAGCGCTGCAGACAGCCACCTTTCGCTTCTGTGCCCGCTACTTTTCTGGGTTTCTTAATAATCTAATGGCTTCTCTTGATATCTATTGGTGTTCGTGATAAATTAGCTACATGTTTCTTTTTCATGCCTGTGTAGGTATATGCATATATCTGAACTTGTCTGCCTTTCAACATGGAAGCCCTTGTTATGTTTAACCTCCCCCACCTGAGGACAGTCTTATTTTAAAATAAGGCTCTTGTTCGGCGTGGGTGTATTTTATAAGTACTTCTAAGGGCCTGGTTTGTATGAGGCTGTCATCTGGCAGAGGGTGTGTAACCCTTTGGATGATGGCCCACGTGAGTGAATGGAAGGCCTTCACCACTAGCCCTGATGCCAGCCTGCCTGAAACTCCCTGTCCTTGTGTGTGGCAGGGGCGGATTGGGGGAATTAAAAGGGATTGGAGGAGAATCTGCTTTTTGTACATGTGTGTTTCATTTGGGTCCTCCTCCCCCCAACCCTTTTATCCTTCTGATGACTTCACATTTGAAGTAAATAGAAACATTTCTTAATTGGGAATCTTCGATAACTAGCATATAAAATGGGCTTATTTAGCCATGATTTCAGGAGGACGTTTTAGTTTCTACCTTTCTTTAGATCATGACAGTTAAATTGCTGTAATTAAGGGTGGATCTCTGTCCTGATTTTGGCTTGGGTGTAACTGCAAAGATCTTTGAAAAGTAACTGTTATTTCCTACCATATAGTCTGCAAAAGTGAGTCACATTCGGGTGAGTTGAGGACAGAGCGCCACCTTTAATTTAAAATTTCGTGATTTTCTTGTATTAAAATGGTGAAAATTCGGAGTACGCCTTCTTGATTTTTATCTCAGCTGTCATTATTGGCATCCCCATTTTGACGTATAAGGGGGAATTGTCTTCATTTTTCTGTATTCTCTCATTTCTCACTCTTAGCAGAGAAATTTCTGCAATCGTGTGGGAAATCATAGTTTTTTTTAACTGAAGCTTAAGATTTAAGTTAGCATTGTGAGATGAGAAACTAGTTTTGATTTGCGTTTATAATAATGCTGATGGTCTGGATCTTCTTGGTGAAAGAAGAAAAGTAACAGCTGCTTTTAAATACGTAGTTTAAACTACCCATTACCACCAAATAAAGGTATCTACCAGCATGACAGTGGTTTTACCGTGTGTGTGTGTGTGTGTGTGTGTGTGTGTGTGTGTGTGTGTGTGTGT